TTATTAGAGGAAATTTTGACAGGAATAATGATGGAGCAATATCATAGTTTTCCCAGTTGAATGAAGGTCAAACCACATGCCAGAGTGAACTTTTAAGATAAGCAGGCCTTATTCTGGGGTCTATAGATCACTTGGGATCAGAAACTTTCGCTAACAGGCCTCAAGGAATTCATGAACTCTGTAAAATCATACACAGGCCTTTTTGAATACATCCATTTTTCTCTGGGGAAAGGATCTATGGCTCTTACCCTCAAAAGTTCTGTAACCCAAAAATAGTTATGAGACGACTGTTGAAGGAGCCTTGAGTGGACTTGATATATTACACACATACTTGAAAAGGCCTAGAGGTAAATCCTGATGACTGTTTCTTTAAGTTAAAGCAGGTCTTAGATCCAGTCAGCCTAAGAGAATCATCATCAAAGTGAACCTGTGTGACCTTTCTTACATCAGGTTCACTTACTTATTCAGGTATTAGAGTTGACATAATGGATGCCATCATTCCTACGCCTTCTGCACTGCTTCAGAGCAGAGTAAACTTGGCGCTGAGCCTGAGAAAGGTAGTTCAGGCAAATCTGCAGATCACTGATGAACCACATTGTTCTTCAAATTTCTAGATACATCACTATCATATATAAAATTAGGCCATGAAGTGCTAGTTCTTTTACAAACGGATCAACTTTTCAGTGTCAGATGTGAGCCTTGAGCATAGTTTTTCCCCACTAAGTCAGTGGACCTTTACTTAGAAACAAAGATCCAACAACAGTGGATAAAATCTAAGTCAAAATCTTCTGTTTTCCTGAGTCCCTCTAGGGAGGGAAGGAAGATAAGGCTTTTAGAGTTACAGTTTCTTACCTCTCCAAGGAGGATACTAAGAGAAAAGAAATATCTGTGGTGACTTCGGGTGGAATAGGGATGTAGGGGGTTATTGTAATAGTCTTCTACCTGCATGAAGAACCCAGAAAAATTATATGCTTCCTTGTGTGTCAAGGGTTGGGGGTGGGGGGGATATTCTATTTTAATCTATTTTTAATTTTTTTTAAAGATTTATTTATGCACACAAGAGCTGGGGCACAGGCCAGAGGTATGGGGGGTGAGAGGACTCACCAGAGACAGAGTGGGGAACAGAACAGGCAGATTGACCAAAGTACACTGCTGAGGGGAGCAGCGGGCGAGCCAGGAGAGGTCTGCTGCACCATGCAGGCTGCTCCCTGGCCGGCCAGGGAATCGAACTCATGCTGCAGAGGCTGCCAATTATTTCATAGGTTGATTCCCAACCCCTTGAGCTACCTGGGAGGCCCTATTTTTAATCTTAAAAGGTAATGTACTAATGCTCTCAGGTTACCCCAGGAAGGCCAACGAGCCTTCAAGACCTTCTTTTATGATTTCAGCTGGAAGCTAGTCACACAGGGTAGTCAAGCATGTATGGGCTAGGTGCTAAAACCTTACACCAGTGAGAATGGCACATATTAAAAAAACTAGCAACAACAAATGTTGGTGAGGATGTGGAGAAAAAGGAACTCTCCTGCACTGTTGGTGGGAGTGCAAAATGATCCAACCACTATGGAGAGCTGTGTGGAGATTCCTCAACCTACTAAACATAGAGCTTCCATATGATCCAGCAATTCCACTCCTAGGTATTTACCCAAAGGACACAGAAACATCAATTCCAAAGAGCACCTGCACCCCTATGCTTATAGCAGCACTATTTACAATAGCTAAGCTTTGAAAACAACCCAAATGCCCAAAAATAGATGACTGGATCAAGAAGATGTGGTACATATACACCATGGAATATTACTCAGCATTCAAAAAAGATAAACACATGCAATTTGCAGCAACATGGATGGAGCTGGAAGGCATCATGCTCAGCGAAATAAGCCAGAAAGAAAAAGAAAAATACCGGATGGTCTCACTCATAGCAGGAATCTAGAAAACTTAAATAAGGGACCAGGAAAAAGAATAACTATAAGAAAGAAAATATCAAAATCAACAAACAACTATGAAACAGAGACACTCTCTGGGGGGAGGGGGGCAGGGAAAGGAGGAATTGGGATCAAAATAAGGGGGCTGTAATTGTATGGGGAATATAAAAATAAAATTTAAATTAAAAAAATAAAATGTGAAAAGCAAATTAAAAAAAAAAAATCTAACAGGGCTTCCCTGGTGGCGCAAGGGGTTAAGACACAACCTACGAAGCTGTCTGCAGCCACTGCAGCACGAGTTCGATCCCTTCGATCCCTAGCCAGGGAGCAACCCACATGGCTCAGCAGACCTCTCCTGGCTCACCCGCTGCTCCCCTCAGTGGTGTATTTCGATCAGTCTGTCTGTTCTGTTCCCCACTCTGTCTGTGGTGAATCATCTCACCCCCCATGCCTCTGGCCTGTACCCCAATTCTTGTATGCATAAATAAATAAATCTTTAAAAAAAAAATCTAACAGATAAAACCAAACTTGAAAACTAGCTAACCCTTGAAAGCTGATTATAGAATCCAGAGGGGAAGGGGTAAGAAAATAAAGCAAGGAGGGAATACAGTGGACTATGGGTTCTTTGGTGGAGGGCACACTATGGTGGTCACACATAAAGTGGGGACTCTTTACTCCTAAAATACAATGATGCAAACCAACATTGCCTCAATAAAAAAATAAGAAAAATATCTTACCAAACACCAATCACATGCTTATATGTCAAGGATAATATGGGTGCCTACATTTACTTTTTTTATTTTTTTAAAAGATTTTATTTATTTTTGCATACAAGACTTGGGGTACGGGCCAGAGGTGCAGGGGGTAAGAGGATTCACCAGAGTCAGAATGGGGAATAGAACAGGTGGATCAACTGAAATACCTGCTGAGGGGAACAGCGGGCGAGTCAGGAGAGATCTGCTGCACCATGTGGGCAGCTCCCTGGCCGGGGATCAAACTCGTGCTGCAGTGGCTGCGGATAGCTTCATAGGTTGAATCTTAACCCCTTGCGCCACCTGGGAGGCCCGGGTGCCCACATTTAAACCAGACTAAAAAACTACTCTGAAGCAAGAGTATATGTTTAAAACTTAGCTGTTTTTATAATCCATTTCTCCTTTTAGAATAAAAACTCTCCAAAGGCAGTGATTGCAGCTGTCTGTTCTTTCTTGTGTCCCTTGTGCTTAACACAGGACTGGCACATCGTAGGTGCTCAGTTAACATCTGTTGAATGACTTTCAGCACGAGCAGTCTCACAACATACTGGGGAGAAATATTGTATTTGCCACACTGAAATGTATAACTTCTAACTATCAATAAGAAAATGATAAGCAACAAAAACAAGGTATCATGTTTTTCCTATCAAATTGGAAGAACAAATGTTATTGATAATGTTGATGACGATACTAGGAAATGGGTGCTCTCACTGGTGGAAATTTAACACTGTCTAAGCTTTCACAAGTGGTGAGTCATGGGTGATTTTTATCTCAATTTTTGTGGTTTGCTATGTTTTCCATTTTTCCCAATAATCCCTCTCAATAATTCCATTTTAAACCAGAAAGTCCCATAATCTTTCTTTGTCCCCCTTAAAAAAGAAAAACTAAACCAGCTGGATCCTTGTACCAACAAGCTAATCCCACACATGGTACACGGCTGTGTTCTGTTGTTGAACCTCTTCTCCTAAGAATGCTTAATCTGAATCCTGTATCAGGTTTCTCTGGAAGGATGCAATACTGTCATTGAAAACTGTACGAGCAGAGCTACTCTTGTTCTGAGGTCTTGACTGGTTGAGGGATCCCACAGGAAATGTGGGCCTGGGAAAAAACATGCAGCTCAAAGGCAGGGCCCACCCAGTTTGTGGTAGGGTCCCACAACCCTTCCTTCCAAGACCCAGGTCTCCACAGACAAGAGAAGCCTAATAGTTCTTGGCAGATACCCTGCCTGGCTCCCTTACTGCTTGGGGCTAAATTAAAAGCAATGATAATCCTAGCCACACATGCCTTTCCCTCGGCTGCAGGCAGCTGTACTTCTCATGCCTGCTTCCCCATTCTGCCAGTGTCCAAGCAGCCAGGCCTCCTGTCAGGGCATCCCAGCCCCAGGAAGGGAGGTTCACAGTTGAATCACCAGTGGGTCATTCTTCTGTTTCCCGTTTCTTTCTTTTCTGGCGGTGCATTGGTAGTTCAGCTTCCTATGTCATTATGTTGCCTTCTGGGCTGGGCAGTTAAATGCCAGTGTGTGCCTAGTGGCCCACCTAAACAGTGTTCACCCAGATGTCAAGGAGCAAACAAGGGAGTCCACACACACTCAGCTCCCGGCTCATTCATGTTTCCTCTTAGACCCTGGCCCTCCGACAGTTTATATAGTCAACCTCAAGAACCTGCCAATGATCCTGGGTTGTTGAGAGTGGCATGGAGAACTGAGGTTGGGGCTGGCTCAGGATATTGCCTCCCTGGTGTTTGCAGGTTGACTGGTACACAGTTGTAATGACCACCAACATTCCAAGTTCAGGGACCTGGATAAGTGGTGATTTTAACTGCTTGGTCTTCTCTTGGGTATCGTTGTCCTTTCTCCCTTTGGACTCAGAGGACATAGAGCAGAGAAGCAGGCCAGTAACTGCCTGCTGAAAGAGGAGAGAGACAGAAATGAAGTGCCTCCCTCCTGCCTAACCACCCAGTGGAAGTCTGATTTTGTTCCAAAGGTACTTACTCCAACTTCATCTTCTTGCTTTTTGGAGAAGATATCCATGGGGGAGATAGGAGAGAAGAGCTCCTTTCTAGCAAATGTTGTCTTTCATCAGCCTCTGTCCCAGTGGGAGCCTGGATGGGGCTCAGACCTGAGGCCCTGTCTCAGACCACAGGAGCGAGTGGGATTGTATAGTTTCACTTGTCACTTTTACCCAGGCTGCCTGCTTTGAATCAGTAACTCTTATCTGTATTTTAGTGTTTTCTAGTCCATCTAGCCCTCAGGCCTGAGGGACTCAAAAGAACTCTGCAATTAATCAATGTTGAATGTAAACACCACATTTTACATTTCTTCTTACAGCTTAAACTTTGGAATAAATATCGAATTTCCAACATTCCATCACTAATATTCCTAGACGCCACCACAGGAAAGGTTGTGTGCAGGAATGGGCTGCTGGTGATCCGAGATGACCCAGAAGGTAAGACCTTGGCATGTTCGTCCCTTAATCCCGACTGTGACCCCCACCCCCCAACTCTGCCTTCCTCCCCTCTGGTAGAGTGTATACAAATGAAATATACTTAGGTTTGTTTGGCTAGCGAATATCGTCTTAATGAAATTTTAGCATTCTCCAGGTCATGGTTAAGATATTTAGAGGGATCAGAATGTCCCTCCTGGGAGCTTTAATGCATGGGCCAAAGGAGATGGAATCTGAAAAAGGAAGTTCAGCTTTGAGAACTGAATTGGCTGTTGAGAAGCAGCTAGAGGCCAGACATTGACTTCTAGTGCTGTTTCAACAGCAGCTGTCATCTTCATAGTTAGAGACATGTTAAGTGGGTTGTTGGGTTTTTTTCTCTTTAATGCATTCCCATAGCAAAGTCACAGTCTCTGTGTTGCTCTCCTAGCCCTGGCAGTGAGTGCACCTCATTTCTTGGTGCTGGCCCAATCCTCAGGCTCTGGCCTAGCTGACCAGCTGCCTGTGTGGGTGGCCATGCACAGGGAGAGCCCTCTGCTCCAGTCACCCTGCTCAGTGGCTATTCGTGTTCTATTTCTTTACCCCTGGACCTGGAGTCATAAAAGGGTTGTAAGATCGCCCCTCCCTTACTTGTTGATCCAATTCAACACTGGTTGCAGATTTTCCCAGTAAAAATTTCACCTGCTTCAAATAATTGCCCCCAGTAAAAATAATTTAAACACACACAACACACTCTCTGTCTCTCACATACTCTACTTGGAATCTTGTTAAAAATACAGATTCCCGGGCCTCCCCTGGTGGCGCAGCAGTTGAGCGCTGGGTTGTGAAGCTGCCCGCAGCCTCTGCAGCGCTGGTTCGATCCCCGGCCACCGGCGAGGGTCCCACATGGCGCACAGACCTCTCCTGCTGCCCGCTGCTCCCCTCAGTAGTGTACCTTGGTCCTTCTGCCTGTTCTGCTCCCCGCTCTGGCTCTGGTGAATTCTCTCACCCTCTCGCGCTTCTGACTGTACCCAGTACTTGTATAAATAAATAAATAAATCTAAAAAAAAAAAAAAAGAAAAGGTTTATAAGGGAGATGTTTAAAAAAAAAAATACAGATACCCTAGACACCCCCACCCACCCCGAGAATTTTGTATCTGTTTGTTTCAGGGTGGGCTTAGTCCCCTGCATTTTTAACCTGTCTATGTGTCTACTCCCACCCGCCCCAGACAGATTTTAGGCAGTGTTTCTTGGACCACCCTGTTAGAAAACACTGTTCTGTTGAGCAGGGAACATCTTGTTTGCTCTTCCTGCCCTAGGGCTTATATGTCAGCGCACAGATCATCTGGATTGAGTGGATTTTTATTCTTCCCTTTTACTAGACTTAAATTCTTACTTGGTTCCCTGGACCCCAAGACAGACAAATTGAGTCAGAATATCTGGGAGTGGGCCCGGAGCATCATATTTTAAAGCATCATATTCCTCAGTTGATTCTAAAATGCAGTCAGAAGCCACTGATTACAGGGTTGAAACTAAAGAAATTCATGGTTGATAGGGAGGCAGTGTCTCTATCATCGCAGTCACCTGGGGAATTGGTTTTGCTTTGTTTTAAAACTACATCTTCAGCCTTGTTCAGATCCTGAGACTTGGGGTGTAACCTGGACTTCTGTACTTCTTGACACCCCCCAGGAGCTTCTGGAACCACAGCCTTGATAGCTCTTCCATGGATGAGTTCTGCTTATATCCCTGCAGGTTCTATGGATGTGTTTACAAATACTATTTGATGATAACTTCATTGTGCCATACAGCCCTGAGGCCTCTTGGGTCAAAGGCCACGATAAATAAGTTTAACATCTTTGCCATTTGTGCCTGTTTCAGGTCTGGAATTCCCATGGGGACCCAAACCCTTCAGGGAAGTCATTGCAGGACCCTTGCTTAGAAACAGCGGGCAGTCCCTGGAGAGCAGCAGCCTGGAGGGGTCTCATGTAGGCGTCTATTTCTCTGCACACTGGGTGAGTGTTTAAGCCTGCTTCACTCCAGACAAAAAACAATTGTGAGGCGGCCACCACAACCAGCAGTGGTTGGCTTCTGTAGGTGTGACTGTGGCAAAATTTCCTGGCATTCTTGCTTTCTTCTGTGCCTGATGCGTTCACTGTTGGCATGCAATACATGTGCATAATTACAAATGGTAACAGCGAGAAAAAGACTTAATTTTGACTGAGGACAGAAAGGGCAGTCCTCCTAACCCATTCGGATGAGGCTTCTGATGACCCCCGGGAGGTTCATTTTAACTGCTACCTACTGGCACTTTGTGTGGGGTGGAGAGGAGCCCATGCTGGATGCTCACCACTACAAGAGACATGTTTTGCTTCTGTCTCTTGTATGGAGCTGGTTTTGCTATCCCCATGCAGCTTGCATCTTGCTTGCCTCACTCCTGATGGCAGCTGTTTGGGACATGGAAAGTCAAAGGTCTGGCATCACACAGTAGGGTCCCACTCTTGTTTTTCAGTGTCCACCTTGCCGAAGCCTCACCCGGGTCCTGGTGGAATCCTACCGGAAGATCAAGGAGGCAGGCCAGAAATTTGAGATCATCTTCGTTAGTGCGGACAGGTAATGCGTGCGTGCTGGGGGTAGGGGTGGTGCAGCCTCCTTTTCTATGGGCAATTCACATGCACTTCTTTTGCCTGAGATTTCTCCTCCTTTATAGTAGAGCTTGGAGATAGGGATTAGGAAGGCATATCTGGGGTTATTGGCTGAGGAGGATACATTTTTCTCCTGTATTATCTGAAGGGGAACTGAGAAAAACCTGTTCTTTTGTAAACATTGGGGTATGTCCCCATTCAGTCCTGTGTCATTTCAGATTAGGATGCATTTTTTTTTCCTGATTTGTTCAGCTTTTTATATCATGGTGAGAGGATAGGGAGGGGGAAAGATGGAAAGAAAAGGGCCAGTGACTAATGGAATGTGGCACCTAGCTCAGATAACTGTGCAGTCATTTTTCTTAGCTCTGACCATGTACTTTGGGGACATTCACAAAAATCAGAAGGGTGGACATTCTGCCTGAAGTATGTCATGTCCTTTTAGCCTCAATGTCCTCTGCTTCTTGCCTTCTTACTGGCTTTCCTCACCAGTGACTTTCTATTAAAAAACTCCAGTTTCAATTCAGACCAAGCTACCTGTGCTCCTGCTTCTCAAGCTGCTGCTCCCTGAAAGGTCTCTGAGATGCTTCCTATTGAGGGTGTTTGTGTATTGCTGTGTCCTCGGAGCTGTGCTCTTGTGGGCTCTGTTGATTAGCCCCTAGTCCTGCCATTGCTCTCCAGAAACCCCTCCTCATCTCAGTGCATGTGAGTGGGGGCAAGCCGGAAGCCACACCAGGTATAGCAGTCACCTTTCCTAAAGCTTAATAAGAATCAACTTTATTGGGGCCTCCTTGGTGGTGCAAGGGGTTAAGTCTCAGCACTATGACACTATCAGCAGCCATTGCAGCACAAGTTTGATTCCTGGCCACAGAACTGACCTACATGGCGCAGCAGACCTCTCCTGTCTGGCCCGCTGCTCCCCTCAGCAGTGTATTTCAGTAGATCCGCCTGTTCTGCTCCCCACTCTGTCTCTGGTGAATCCTCTCACCCCTCCATACCTCTGACCTATACCCCAGCTCTTGTATGCATACGTAGACAAATCTTAAAAAAGAATCAACTTTATTGAAGTATAATTTACATACAATGAATTTTGACCAATGTTTTTACCTTTATAATCATCACAATTAATATCGAGAGCATGCCCATTTTCCATGTCCTTCTCAGTCAATCTTTGCCCCCAATCCCCCAGCTCCAGGATACCCCTGATCTGCTTTCTATCAACTTGGTTATATTTGTCATTCCTAGATTTATACTTGGTTAAAAGTGGTTCTGTCCACATCACTGTTTTGTGTACAAGTTAGGATATATCTAGGTTCTCTATAAAAGTAGAGAATTGAAACATGAAAACATGAAACATGAAAGCTTGGGCACGAGTTGCAATGGGGGATGCAAGGGAGCAGGCTACTGAAACAACCTGGCATTTTCGTTTGGTGTCTACCTGTTAGGGGGAAAAGGTGTTTGCTGCTTGGTGTACACCAGGATGGGCCGGTTACCGCCCTCTTGTGTCATTAGCCTGATGCCTGAGGGGCACACTGATTAGGAGTCTCAGTGTCCGCAAAGCCCTCAGCACAACTTGGTAGAGGTTGCAAGGACCCAGTGGTGGAACATTTGGGAACAATAAAACTTTGTGTCCACCTATGTCTCTATAGGTCAGAGGACTCATTCAAACAGTACTTCAGTGAGATGCCCTGGCTCGCTGTCCCCTACACTGATGAGGCCCGGCGGTCGCGCCTCAACCGGCTGTACGGAATCCAAGGTAGGCGTCCCCAGCTCCACGGGCCTCCTCGGGAACCTGTTCGCCTGAGCTCGCTACGTCTTTGGGTTACTTTTAGAGTGAAAAGAACATCTTTAATTCCATGAATGTTCATGTTCTTTACCCTCTGGTGAATTTTTATAGTATGAAATTGTACCTCATTATGACCATTTTGTTTTTAATGTCCTTGTCCGGGTGAGACATCTATCAATACTTCTTACCACCTGGCCCAGTGGTGACATGACTGGGGATGGAACACGTGCTCCCAAATGACTTGGCTAAACTCCTACCCCAAGGTTTTCACTGTCAAACATACCTGAGAGTGATCTTTGGTTACGTCATTCAGAGCCATCACTCTGAGCCTCAGTTTCTTCATCTGCAAAACAGTGATGACAAATCTCCACAAAGAACTAGCTACAATAATGTTTATCAAGTGCTTCTCATGGTTCCTGAAACGTAATAGTTAGGCCTGAGTACATAGTACCTCATAGGGGAGAAAGTGGACATCCTGAGAGCGTGGAGAGCCTGGATTCGAAGTACTAGTCATGGTGTTTTTCAGAAATTAGCATTTTAAGTGAGACAAACTGTTTTGTTCTTTATGTGAATACCTCCTTCCCAGCCTCATCCAGCCAACTTCTAGCTTGGTCAAGCACTTAACTCGTCTGATAAGAATTGTATTCATTCTCTTTCTAGTACCAAATCCTGGTCACCCCTAGACAGTCACAGTTTATATTTGAGTTCTCGGTGCCCCTTGTGTTAGAGGAAGTGGGGAGAAAAGACAAGTCAAAATTTACCCAGGAATTCCACAGCCTGTGAGGGAACACGTCAACTCTTTAGCTTTTTTTCTTTCTCTGTTTTGAGTCGCCATATGGCTTTATTTGGAGCTAAAGTTTCAAAAATAACATTTAATTTTAAGTAAGTCCTTGTCAATGTCAAGGGTATATAAGAATCCCCTAAGGATCTTGTAGAAAATGCAGATTCAGATCCCATGGGTCTGGAGTGGGGCTGAGATCCTGCATTTCTAGCGAGGCCCTGGGTGACCCTGGCACTGCTGGTCCAGAGACTACATTTTGGGTATTTGAATCGAAGTCTGTTAATCTCTTGAGAATATTTGGGGCCTGTGCCTCCTATTAATAAATCCGATGAAAGCTGCCCTTTTGTGGATGTAGGAGCCTGTGGTGCGGGCTTTCCTGGTGGTCAGGGCTAAGGCCAAAGGGTCACCTGAAACTAATAAATAACCAGAGGATGGTCTGTATCATATAGGGTCAGCTTGAGGGTGGCAGTCTGCCCTCCCTGTGCTCTGTGAGATGCTGAGTGCCCGTGGGGAGGCAGGCACAGAAGAGCAACCTCAGAGGAGGGATCATGAACTCTTTGATACTCAGCGAAATTTCTAGACACACCATCTCGGCAGGAGCACGCCCTTCTGTGAAACATTGGCAGGGCACAAAGTAATTAATTGGTTCTTTTCTCCCTTCAAAGCAGAGAAGGGCACTCTCCTTTCTGATTCTCCAGGTGTCATCATGTAATATTACAGATGTAGGAGCCACAGTTATTAGGTGTGGCCCAGAAAGTGGTGACCACATGTGAGGAAGAGGAAAGTGCAGAGACGTGCTCCTCTGACATAGCCTCCCAAGGCCCTGGCAGTGCAGGCATGAGAAGTACATGTGTGATCCCTGACTTCAAGGAGCCCGCAGCTGAGGATCAGAAAGCTAACTTGGACAGGCCTTATATTCAGGCAAGTCATAGCCAAGCCACACTAAAAGAATGTGAGATTCATCTGGAACCCAGCTCTTGCCACAGCCCAGCCCCACACCTGCCCAGCCCTCTGCCCCTCCTCTGCTTTCTCCACAGCATCCATTCCCCTGACAGCTGTTCTAGTCTCTCTCAGACCTGTCTCCCATCTCCGGCTGGCTTCCTTACTCACGGGTTTCCAGTCTCTCCCTGGCAGTGTTTTGTGCCTACTGCATCAGCAACCTCTTAGGCTAAGGCTTAGGACTCATTCCTGTAAGCAGCCTGTTAGATACTGCCTGCTGCCTTGATCTGTCTGCCTCTAGCTGTCAAGCCAGAGAAACATAAAGCACAGTGAAATAAGAGTATGGAAGAGTAACACAGGATCCTTCTCAAGGCAACTTTTAATGCAGGGCCACACATGATATAATGCAGTTTAGAGGAGAGCTGGCTCATAACTGTTGAGCCAGGAAGGCTTGTTGGAGGAAGTGGCTGTAAAACAGAGCCTTACAGAATGGAAGAGATTCAGATAGGGAGTTTAGGATCTTCCAGGGCAAAGGTCAGCGTAGGATGCCTATGGTGTTCTATAGGGCAGAGTGGGTGACACGGCTAATAGATGCTACATCATAGAGGGTGTCTTGAGCACCATGTTGAGGTCCTTGGACTTGGTCCTTTAGACTTACGGATTCTTTTGAAAATTTCAAAGGGAGATAAATGCCAGGTGACATCTGAGCTACATTGAAAGAGAAATCCCAGAGGCAGGTTGTCTGGGTAATATTTCTGACAGACATATTGAACACACATTGTAACCCAGGCTCAGACTGCGGCTCATGACAGGCCTGCCTGTGGGGAGAGACAAGCTGCTCCCTCAAGTATAGCAGATGGCCCAGGTGGCCCCTGCTGTGTAGTGCCTGCCTCCATGCCTCTGCCTCCCCTCAGCTTTTCAGGGTCACCTATTCTGCTTCATGGCATTTTGGGGTTCCATGTGCATTAGGGGTCTGGTTTCCAGTATATTTGTCAGATATAGTATGCTATTTATTAGCATTTACATCGCTCTTATTGTCATCTATACTGTTGTCACAGTACAGGGCAGGGGATTTTTTGCATCCCACTGCCTCCTCCAAAATAAAAGGCAGAGAAACGCCAAAGCCTGTTCTAGAGGGCAAGGATACTAGGAGCATGCTTTGCAGCCCTGTATAAGTTGGACCAGAAGCTCAGGGATGAGGTGTGGAGCAGGGCTGGCTGGGGCCTTTTCCTGTGCCCATGAGCTGAGGTCCCCTTCACATGCTTCTTGTTGGCCTCTCCCATGGCACAGTCTTACCCCATGTCCCTACCCCTTTCCCAGCCTCTCTCCTGGGCAGAACTGCTTTAGTTAGGAGTACGGTTAGCGCTCCTAAATTTCCTCAGTTTCATTCCTCTCTGCATTGAAACATTTGCGTTACATCATCAGGTTCATAAGCAGGATGTCTGTGCCCCTCTTCCAATCCCTTCTGTTTTGTTGGAAGAAGCATCATCTCTGCTTTCTAAGACTTTACCCTTATTCTTCTTTTGTCTTGCCCTTGCCTTGTCCAATTTTCCTTGCCTTTCTTGCCTCCTTATTTCTCTCTCTTAGCAACTTGCTCCTCCTTTTCTACCTCATGGAATGCTCATTATATTCTCTTAGTTATTATTTTTTAAAAAAAGAAAGAAAAATCCCATCATCCCCTAAAGCCAGTCTGCTTGGGCTGCCATAACCAATTACCACAAACTAGGCAGCGTAAACAAAAATTGATTTCTCACAGTTCTGGAGGCTGGAAGTCCAAGATCAAACTTCAGGGTAGATTGGTTCCTGGTGAGGGGTCTCTTCCTGGCTTGCAGATGGTATCTTCCTCTTTTCCCTCTCTTTCCGTATCACCGCTGCTCCTGGTTTTCTCCTGCCTCTCTGTTTGCTGGGTTTCTCCTGCACTCACGCCCATGCTCCTCTCCCTCTTTTCATGACCCCATTACATCTGCAACACCTTGCTCCAGGTACTCCTCCCTCTGTCCCAGATGACTGTACATACTAACTTGGCAGAGCACCTCTGAGGGAACCTCCCAGAAGATGCTGCGATAGTGGTAATCCTCTCCTGGTAGAAGCCCTCGGCAGCTGCGGCCTGAGGTTCCATGTCTCTGTAGCCTGCTCTCATACAGCCTTGCAGGCCCTCTCCACATCTTGCCTGTCTGCACCATAGAAAACCTGCACAGCTTCCCCACACCCTCCCTGCCATCTCACAGGGCTAAGCGCCCTACCCCTTGGTGAGCATCTCCCCATCCTTCCAGCTCAATGCTGCCTCCCACAGTAACCCCCACCACCCGGGGAACAAACTTTCCCTTCCATATTTGAGTGCTTGTGCGGTTCCTGTCACATCACTGGTCACTTCCCAGATGTCATTCTCACGGCATCTCTTCTCTCCTGGATCAGCTGCTCTTTTAGGACAAGGAATGTATACCTGTGGGCCCAGGTTAGGGTTTTTTCTCCTTCATACCCTCGCTTCCTCCTTCTCTCCTTTATTTCCCTTTTTGTTCATTCTTCTTCTCTTGTTCATCTGTGCTTTTCTCAGGGAACATTTATTGGGTGTCTACACGCCTGGCTTTGAGCCAAGTGCTAAGGGGCAGAGCTGCCTGGCACCTGCCCTCTGGCAGGGAAATAGACAACCCAGGGAGGCAGAGAATGTGGTGGTGGGAGTACACAGGCTGCTGCACTTGGCTGGATCACCTAAGATATACCACATGCCTCCACTATCCATGCCCTCCTCACCACCCCGGGCCCTCCCTGGCAGCAGGTGGTACTTGGAAGGAAGAACAGTGTGATAGAGATTCCAGTCTCAGCCCCGCCACTGAGCATCTATGTGGCTCCACCTGAGTCACTTCCCTCCCCCGTCCTCTGCTGCCTTCTCTGAAGAAGGGCAGGGCTGGCCAAGGGAATCCCCACCCACCCTTCAGTTTTTCTGATTTGTTGAATCTTGATCCAGAAGCTAAAGGGTGTGTAGGAGAACTAGGCAGCTCTGGGTCTTTGTCCTCCACATGGCGAGGTGGGGGTCAGGAGTCCCTGCAGGAGGGCTGCTGTCTCCAGGGTGTTGTCAGGGGCCTGCCTTTCCTTCACACCTGAACCAAGAATATTCCCCTGTGCTTGTGCCGACTAAGGTGAGTTTCTTGAAAGGTTTTTGTAAATGGAAGAGATTATTCAGATATTTAAATTGGTTTTGAATTTCACATGTGACTTATTGAAATACAACTTCTTAAAAAACTGTAGATCT